TCGACGAGAAACGGTTCGCGAGCTTTTCTTCTCTCCGTTCCTCTTCTATCGTGACACACAGTGACACACAGAGGAGAGGGTAACCGGATTTCCGAAAAAGGGAAAACTAGTGTCGGGACGCAGGTTGCCTGCATGTCGCGAGCCTATGCACGCCCACGCGAGTACGATAAATTATACAAGGAGGCGAGTGCGAAGGGGTCACCATAAAAGAACCTGTTACGTTTCAGATATTAATCCGGCGAGCGGGCATAAAATCGACTCTACCCCGTTTTGGACACCGTGTAACCCCATGGAAAATAAGCTTCGCGTTCAACATCCCCTTACGGTATTGCCGTGCTAATCGCGTGCGCGTTGTCTCGCAATTGAGTTGTCTATTGTCGGATTCCACGAACTTTCCAGGGAACTGCTTCTCTAATCATTTCATGCTGTGCACCGGAGGATCGTTGCAAAACATTTGATGAGCCGGATACATTAGAATAACAATAGCGTAATACTCCGAATCTTTGCATTTAAATCGTTAAAAGAAGAATGGATAGAATGCTGCAGTTTTAAGGTAGAATACGGAAGGAGATCGTAAATTTAATAGCTAGGTCAATATTTTTGGAAAGAGTTACAGGAAGTAGTTTATTGGCTCATCCCCGTCCAAAGTTTTTCGTGTTTCGCATCCAGATACCGATCAACCTATAAAATCGAGTGCTGCTTCAGTAGGGGGCTCTTCTCCCCTATTTCACCGGGCAATAACCCGATCGAAGATAAACCGTGAATAGGGTTATCCCACGATCTCATTCACTTAATCGTATCGTTGTTATCCTGTCATTAAACACGAGCGAGTTATCTCGTAATAAAACGCGTCCGCAGTAACGATGAGGCTTAAACTGTTGAGAATATCGAACAAACAGACAGCGTTTACGCAATCGAGTAATTCTCCTGTCTTTCCCGATCGATGACGAATAAAATAACAAGCGTTACCGTGACTACGGAGATAATCCTTAATGTACTTCTAATTGAATCATTATCCCGTGAAAGGAAAACGTTTAATATCGATAGCTACCTCAGAGACTGCTGGTTATGATAACCCTCGATCACGTTGGCTGCTTTTATCTTTGCTCCATTTCTAATTAGTGGATCGCGTACCAATTGTAACTTGAAAATTAGTAAATTATATCGTTTGATCACAAATTTCGCAAGATCACTTTCGAGTGCTTTATTGTCAAAGAACACAAGAATCGTGGAATTCCTGGGACAAAATCTTCACGGTGAAAAATAGTCATCCCCTTCCGTTCCAGTGCAAACAATCTATGCTCCTCTATCCTCCTTATCGATCCATCCAAAACCGGTACGTGCAACACTTCGTGTAGAACTAGCGACGCGAAAGAGGACAGGGGTGTTGGATCAGCCTGAAGATCTAAAGAGCTTATTGCACAAAATTGCTTGCAAAATATTCCTGAACGCATAGAAATTATGTGGGTAATTGCATATCTGTCTTCGCAGAAATAAATTTTATTCTCTCGTCCCACGCAATTTGAATAAAAAACGAAGTTCGAATAATCGGTCCAGCACGATATCATTGCGCAAAATAAACTCGAGGATAATTTTCGTGATCGTAGCGGCACGTGCAGCGTGAAATTGCGATTTGAACTCGTTTCAATGTTGCGGGACGTGGACACCGACGATGCGAACAAATGACGCGGTGCAATCAGCCCGTTGCAGATGCAACGCGTGGACTGAGAATGCAGCAGCTGCTCGGTCTCGTGGCCAAGTGTCTTCTATTGTGCTCGTATTGTCGATACACGATCCCGAGCAGTTGATCCGCCCAGTTCTTTGCCTCCGACATTATCGGGAACTTTTAGTTTTAAGTTCGTCTCGAAGAGAGATAGCGGTGAAGGAGCTCCGTTGACCGTGAAATTTACGTTGCTACTCGATCGTACATCGGTGCTCTACTTTTTTTTATCCGTAGTGAAATTTACTCGTGCGATCGAGACTACGCAACAATGGTGAATGTCGGCGGGAGAGCACCCGCAAAAGTGGAGTGTAGGAAGCAAAAACAAGGACAACTCTCGCGCGACGATTGGCGAAACAATCGGACCACCCAGAATTTCTTTTCGCGAATGTCGCGTTTGCTTCGATTCTCGATGCACTTTACCGACGAACAGTGTCGGTAGACGCGTTCGAATTTACTTTCGAAGCTTCGGAAGCAGAATGCACGGAAATATTGAAACGGTAGACTTCTCTAACAACTGTGCTACGATATCTCAACTTCCTTTCAATTAAAAACATACAGAGTGCAAAGAGTTAACGATTCTAATGAATTATACATATATTTTCCTTAAGAAATAGTAAATTTCTCAAGAAGCCATGTTACGTTATACCAATTTCCTTCCAATTAAATTCATAACTGTGGGAATGAAACGCGCAAAAATATATATGCACGGTATGCAAAAAGTGGAGAATTGCAAAATAATGCATACACATTTTACGAATGGGATCAGGTAGACTGAATTAATTCGATTTCAGGAAAATAAAAACAATCTTACGAGGTCGATAACTGGAATTTAATGGCATGTGCGAACGGCGGGACTACGTAACAGGTTCAACCAGAGAATAATTGCGCTGGTCACGCGACTGTTATAAACACCGTGGTCCATTTGCAAGCGTTATAAAATATCCCAGTTTTGCCGTGCGAAACTCACGCAGATATATCAACGGAAAAATAAATTGTTTGCTCGTGGATAGATCACTCCTTTTCGCGTCGATGAAACGCGTAACGGTTTGCCCCTGCATACCAGGTGGCTTCATACGTTTTCAATCTTCGCCTGCTTCTCGCCACGACTTTCCACCTATTAAGCTTCGTGAAGACTCGAATTCGAACGTTTATTTATCGTCTTACCACGTTTATAAACGTAGCCAAATAAATTTCTAACATCGTGCCCTGATACTTTCGTGAGAGAAAATAACGAAGAGTAGCGGGGAACGTGTTACCGTGTATAAAAGACGTTTACGTGTACACGGTAACAATAATGAACGTACTTCGAGTTGAACAGTACACTTAATGCCACCATCGACAAGCTCAGTGGTTCGAGTGGCGTAATCGTTGAACGAGCCTCTTGGCATCTCGTCGAAGGTATTCCTTCCATCGAAGAAGGAAAAAAAAAGGGGAATGACCTACCTCATCGCGAACGGAGTCACTCGAAACTTCCACGATTCTGTGTTCGAATGAATGACCATTGCACACGAGTGTAGAACATGCGGCGATTGTCACGTACGCGACAAAGCCGCGCATCACTCGGTATTCCTTCGTGTCTTAAAAGAAACATTTTTTCACGAACGATATTAAGGTACACTTTTTTTTTTAACTAACGCTTGGTCGATCGTTACTGGATATGGCACATACTCTCAAAGATATCCTCGTCGGAAATTATACTTTAATCGACTCCTTTTACTTTTAGAATATGCATTAGGTGCGAAAGGATGGCGAAAAATAATCGTGTTCGAAAGTGGGTCTTGGCCCATGAAAGTTTGGGAAGCTCCGAGATTAGGAAACACGGCAGTTGAGGATAGAAAATAAAGCATGACGTATAAAAGAAACGCAGTTCCCTTGGGAAATCGATAGTGTCACTTATAGACGCAAAGAATCTGGTCGTAGCACGGAATCGCGTGAAATTGATTAAAAATCTTGTGCAGCTGACGCGTAACGCAAGAATCCAACCTGACTCACCTCTCTCGTTCTCCAGAAACGACGCAGGATTTCAAAATTCGAAAGCACCTTCACGCCATAATCGTCGCAGTAGGACATCAAGAGTCCGGGTTCAAGGCCAAACGGTAGATCGAGGAATAAATGGGAATTGCATGGATAGGATGGGAAAGATGACAGTTAAACGCGGTTAAAATTTCTAGAGACACTGGAAAGACACCGCTCCGAAACAGTCCCGGCACAACGTGCTTCTCCCGACACAAACAAAAGATGACTGAGGGAGCTCCAGTATCCTGACCGCCTGTTTACCTCGTCGATTTCGAGCCTAACACCCCACCCACCCGTTAACGAGTCTACCGGTGAACGACGAGCAGGCAACGTGCGTTCTAAGGAAAGAAGGATCGTGTGTTGACAGATCGCGGGGGGCAAAAAACGCGGAAAGGACGTAACGTGTCACGCTGTATTGTATGTGGGTTACACTCGGGTGTCGTTACTCACGTATGCGTGCGTTGTCCTGTTGCTCGGTTCCAGGATTACCAACGATTACTTTACGCGAGGATTTCACGATAATTGAACATTTAACGTGACGATATCACACTTTGTACAATTTAATGGTCAGGGTGTGCCCTGAATTTCCATGCGACCAACGGCATCCGTCAAACGTGAACTACTGCCGCCATCTTGACACGGCCGACTACGGCGACGCACTGCGTTAAATCGAGGAATCATTGACTGATCACGCGGGTCATTTAAACCGTTTCGATTCCGTGTCACGTAATCCCCTGCGTTTTTTTGCTAACTATACCATTTATGTATTTGTTTTTGTTGAAAATAAGAAAGAATGATGAATAACAGAATAAACAATAACGTGATAACGATAATGAAAAGAAAATTATTTTTACAAATTTTAAAAATGCGATAAAAGTAATTATAAACTGTCGATTAACCTTCTTAAAATTGTGAATATGATGTCAAAGTTAATGATAACGTGTTCAAATAGAAAAAATTCGCTTATATAAAATTTCAGAAATTCGATGAAATTATAAGGAAAATAAAAAAAATTGCAAACCTGGTGTTTTTCATTTGTTTTTCGATAATCTATCGTATTTCGTATCGTCCTGTAAAATTGCTCAAATTCTAGTAATCATACTCCACGGAGTTATATGTGATGCAAATGCATTACTATTTTATTAACAAATTTATAGCAAAAATTGCATTAATCGTTTTGTATTAATGATCGTGAACGGTCACAAAAGTTAAAAGTTTTTCTTTAGATCGAAGAAGGTTAGTACGGACGTGCAGAAGCAGAGAGGACTGTATGGTCAGGGTTCGTGAATAATTCGCGACGTCCCTGGGTTCGATCGAATCAACGTTTTCGCTAGCGATAGTAGCAGTTTCTGGGCAGAATGCAACTGCGTGGTGACGGAACGACAGACCTAATTCGCTAAATTTGGACACACACGTAAATTCCGGTATGTAATGATCGTTGAATGATACGATACGTTCGATATCCATTTATTTCGTCGATCGACGCAATCGCAAAATGGAACAGAATTCTATTAATCGATGTTTCAACCGACTGCTTTCAGAACACGTGTGGGTCGAGCAACCACGTGGGCCGCATGTATCGAAAAACAAGTGCCGCATCTTTTGGTGAGTGCAGATAGATGAACTGTGATATTTCTGATATCGGCACGAAATGTTTGTAAAACATGAAACGTTTGCTTGATGAATAAAAAGTTATATAGTAAAGCCATTGCCAAACAACGAATGTGTGAATAAGTTATTGTGCAAACGATAACCTGCGAGAATGATACTTTAAGAAATATAAACATAACGGTACAAGTAATTTTTATTGGTTCCAAAGCTTCAATTTATTGAGCAAAGAATATGTATGCGTGGATCAAAAGATATAACGAAACATATCCTTGCGTCAGATGAAAGAAAGAGAAGTGTGATATAGCTTAAATTAATCAAAGACATGTATTGTTGATTCAAAGACAAAAGTTATATACTAGAAGACTGATAGTTTAAGAGCATATAAATAGGAGCTGTTATCGATCGATATAATAAGGGTACAAAATTATGGCTCAAGTGGAACCGAAACAAAAGAAACTTAAGCACTCTATCATTTCGGATTTTGTGTACTCCGCTGACTTTCAACAACTGTTTTCTGAACACTGGTGCAATCTTAGCGACATAAAGAAGAACAACCTTGAGATTATATCAAAACCTTTTAGGATATGTAAAATTTCTAATTTCCTTTCTAGCGAAGAGTTTATGGACGAGATAAAGAATGAACTATTGGATGTTAAAAGTAGAAGAAACAGCATAGACCTCTATCAATTCGAGCAAACCAATGATCTTGTAAATGTTGACGCGGAAAACTTAAAGCTCTTATATAAAACCTTTCAAATGGATCTAGCATTATGGATGGAAAAAAATACCAAGATACAGCTTAATAAAACATTGTCAATGTCCAGTTCTTGTTACTATGATACAGACTACTTGCTCTGCCACGATGACAATATGGATGACCGTAGAATCGCTTTCATCTTGTACCTTTCAAAAAATTGGACTCGAGAAGATGGTGGGACATTGGATTTATTTGATACGGATAAAAATGGACTGCCCAGGAACATTGTGAAGTCGTTGATTCCGGAATATAATTCTCTAGTATTTTTTGAAGTTGCAGATAACTCTTATCACCAAGTAGCAGAAATAGTCTCACCGGACAAATCTCGTTGGTCTATTAACGGTTGGTTCCATGGACCTCTCAGAGAAAGTCACAGGCCTCCTAGACCGGAAATGGTACCAAACTATATCGAACCGATAAACATCGAAGTAGATTTACACGATTGGGTAACAAAATGCTATCTAACTTCAAATATCATAAAGGAAGTTAATCAAAACGTGGAACAAGAATCGTTCGCGTTCCTGGCTGGTTTCGTGAAAATGGATATTTATGAAAAACTTGTTACAGAGGTGGCTTCGGATACCATCGTTTGGCAGAAATGTGGCCCGGCAGATATTCGCAATTACGAGATAGCGGACGAGAACAGTTTGCCAGAACTATTGAAAAGTTTTTACAATTTTTTCAAGTCGATTTCTATGTGTCGATTACTGAAAAGTTATACGGAATTAAATCTTGTGCCAGAGAAAGAGGCTTCGAGTCCCAAGATGGTTATAGAGCTCCAAAGATGGTCCAAAGGATGTTACACGTTAATAAGCGACAAATCTACGGTTAACGAATCGGACTTTACCGAAAACGAGAAGAAAACTGGTAACAATGGATGCGTTACACAGGCCGACGATGTATCGGAAACTCCGGTAAGCTCGGGAGGAAAACCCAGTAAAAATTGCGAAGAGAAACCGATGCAGAGTAACGCGGACAAAACCGCGGACTTAGATTCTAATTCTCCGGTAAGCAATAAGGAGGACGAGGACGTCGAGGACGATGACATGTTGAAGAAGATATTAAAAGCGAAATGTTTTCAGTCAGCCGAGAAGGATTTATTACGAAAGCCCTCTTTGACGAACATCGATAATTCCTCTCTGTTAGAAAGAGATACAGATTCCGACGAGTCCGACATCGGTGATTACTTATCCGATCTAAACGACCGGTCTTTGGAACGTTCGGATCAAGAAAACGAGGCGGACGACTCGAATGCTTCGGAATCTGGTAGTCTCGATGTGATATTACAATTCCATACGCACCGTGTGCCCGAAGAGCACACCATAGATTATGTAGATCCCAAAGAGCAAGACGCTGCACTGATTCACATACCACCGAAAGATAACCACCTTTGCATCGTATACAAGGTTTCGAGTACTTGTCGTTTTCACAAGTATGTGAATCATTACTGTACAGATTACTTTTATAATTTGATTTGTACATATTACGAACAGTAATTCCATATTCGCAACGCTTGTCATTTCGGATGTTCCTCGAACGACTTGACGATTGTATACCGAATCGCGAACAAAGAAGCGTTCATTTTAAATGAAACTGTGTATCATAGTATTTATCCTAATAAATTGTCAGTATTTATCGTCGGATATTTGTCGTTGTTCATTCAAATCTATTTATTTTATCCTGTTCGAAACAATTCGAGAACTTGCGAGGATACAAACAGGTCTTACTTAGCTAGGATATACTTATTAATTAGGATAACTCGTGCTACTTAAGATAGCTAAGATGGAGATTAAGACCACAGTGCAAAGAACATTCTCAATCGTTTATTGGCCGTGATACATCTATCATTTACTTATCGAGCTAACGTTAGGTGCGGTCAGGGTTCATGCATGGATGTTAGGTCAACCCTTACTCGTTCAGTGCAAAAGCGATCAAACCCCTCGTACTAAATACCAGTATATGAAAAGGAACTTAAAGTGAAGCTTACGATTTGATGACGTTACTATGCTCGTTATCGGGTTGTTGCACTTGTATCCTGGGCTGCGAGCAGCCTTGTCGTTCCTTGCCATCCTTAACGACCTTCGCCGTCACCTATCACGTAAAGTATCTCGATAGATATCGCCGTGAGACGCGGATGCAATAAAAAAATCGTAAGACGAAGTTGCATTCAAAGCGGAAATCATTAAAGGGGCACGCCTTCTATTTACCTTCGTTCCACACGACTTAAAGCAACCATAGGCTATTCTTGTACGTTCGGAGGATCGATTACTTTTTAATTGCTCGAGGTACAATGCACAATCGATCGCGTGCTACGAAAATAGATGCAAAATCTCGTTACGCGATGCATTGTCAATAGCGTTCAATCACCTGAGAATTGATAGGAATCCCAGCCATTCGTTTCTTCAGTTCGTTCAACTGTAATTCTCTCTGGAAACTGGCGTCGCTTTCTTGCGAATCCTCGCGTAAACCATCGTTGATCGACTCTGAAGAGTACTCGACTTGTACCCATGGACAGATCGTCGGCGAAGATTGCAAGGAACTTTTGCTTCCTGGTCGGGACAGTCGAGGAGAAAGTCGTCGTAGCAATGAAATAAGTTTCGACCTAAAACGAGAGGATCGTGAATTCCGAATAAAGCGTCGTTTGCGAGTCGAACGTTTGTAGAGGACTCGAAGAGGGGAATACTTTGTGCTAGGAGTTTGCAGATGATCAGAGCTGATCGCTCCGCTTCTTGAAAGTTGCTCCGCGCTGCGAGTCGTGTCTCTCCAATGCAGCCTGTTGATGGATCTTCCTACCCTCCAATCCAGGCTACCGCTTTGTCGAGATTGAAGGCCTGAAAGCGGTTTAAAATGCGGCCCGTGTCTTTCTAACGCTGGCACGGCGTTAACGGTACAATATGGAACTCCCGAATCGAAGTATAAACATTAAAAGTTTGTAAGTCTAAGAAAGTCTATCACTCCGATATTATAATTAGATTTTAATTTATTCGCAAGATCCAAGAAATGCAAATTCAGTTTCGAGTTATAGGAAAAGAGTTATATTACCTTGCTCGTTCACTGTCTGACTAACTCTCCAGTCTAAGGAGCCGCTACTTCTATTCACGCTATAAATGTTATCACAGGATTTTGTCGCAAGATATGTCGCGTGATGTCGACGTCTCAGCAATTTCGAGACTGGTCCCAGATTTCTAGAAACAATACACGATGTTAATGACAAATCGAAGGATCGATGAAGAAAATGAAAGCAACGGTAACGTACCTTTTAAATTTCCGTGTCTGTTCTATTGGCGGCTTGCCGTCGCAAACTACCATTTTGACTTCCGGTTCCGGGCAGCACGTGCCCACGCGAATGTGACCGCTGCGCACACCGTCCAGGGACCGGAAGTTGGCGCGCTCGCTCGAAGGCACGCGGACGATTTCGATTTTCGGCCTTCCCTCCATCACTGTTTTTATTTCACGCGCGATTATACTCGGTTCTCGTAAAAATAGTATAAAAATTACGTTTCTTCCGTCAAGCTATCGATTATCAAAAGGTACACGTTTCGCGTCGCGTCGAATTCCAGTTTTCTCACACGAATCACGAACTTCGTGGTCGTTCTTAAAATAGTCGTGGAATCTTCTTGAGCTACTTCTGCTAAAGTTCCTCTCGCTACCGTGGCACATCATAACGGTTGATTCTTCAAAGCGTTTGGCACACGCGTTCGTACATACCGGCTATCACGTATCTTTGATCGATACATCGGAGCACGTGCGATCGTCGCTTCTTCCTCGCGAGCTCTTTACGAACCACGTTCATTCGTATCGCTGGAATCGGGACACATTTCCTCTTCGAGTATCTACTCGATGGAATTTTTCTAAATCTCGCAATTTTATTTTGATTCGATCTACTCACTCCGCGCGCGCGATTCGTCAAAACATCATTACAGAATAAATGTATCGAAAAAATGTCTACAAATATATAGATATGATTTTGAGTATCAAAACTTTCACGTTATGCACAGTTTCGTACAGAAATAGTTTGTTAGCACTGGATGCTTTGAAAGGTAACGTGTTTGCTGTTACCAGCGCTTAGAAGCTTTTTCTCCCTGTTCGCAGTTTCTGCACTTCTCGTGCCCGTTTGTGTGGTTTCGCTCGGGTCAAACTGTAAATCGGCCACAATTCCCTACATACGAACAGCCTTAATAAAGATGAATTTTCTCTATCATGACGTATTACGTTGTTGAACGGTTAGTTTCAAGCGGCGATTGCGCAACGGTCAATTATGATTAGGAGGACAATAACTCTGCTCGAACAAGCATTTAGATAATCGTTTCGAATGTTCAGAAGGTTTATAAGATCGAAAAAGATAGACACGTTCCGCGCTTTACTTAGAAAAATCTCTTCAAGCGATCACCTTACATCGACGTTGGAATAACGCGTTTTCGAGCCTTTTGTAAACGCGGAGAATCGTATTTCGCGGGCTAGAAGAGCGTAAAGAAACGGGTTCCGTTCCATTCGAGAAATGTACAATCACAACCGTATAGAGTTTGTTGCATCGACTGGTTCGTTTTCTCGAGCCGAGAACTGTCATTAGAAAAGCCACGCGACTTTCCAGTGGATGCGCTCGAAAGCTTTCGATGAAACGAAACGCGGGATTCGTCTGGCAATTAGATCGTTGATTAATTGCAACGAATACGAGAGCTTACATCGAAACAGCGTGTATGAATTTCCATAAATGGAAACCATATTTCCATCTGCTGTCTGCGTTCCGAGAAGCGACTTCTAATTAAAAAAGAAAGTACGGAATAACAATTCGGTGCTCGCAGTTCAACGGTTCGATCTAACAAACTTTCTTGATATTAAAAAATGCATTGTCCAAATTCGAGGATGATAAAAATTCACTTTGCTGGACATTTTCATTCATCGATCTTTCTATAACCTACACGCTTCACTTGGATTGTCATCGCTCGCTCGATCGAAAGTTCGTATCGATCTCGGTAAAAATACGGCGAAACCACGCGACAAGAACGCCTGTACGTTTCAGTATCGATAACCAAGTAACATACTCGTACAAGAATAAACTAGGCAGATATATATAGGAGAAACTAGAGACACAAGGAACAACTTGAATAGGTAATAGAGTCATGAAGTATACTTGGTTCTAAAGCGTTTTCACGACAAGCATTCCAGCGTGAAATGAAAAACGCGGATAACAGAGTCACAAGACAGAACGATTCTCGAAGAATGCTTTGGTTTTAAAGCGTTTTTCGCGACGACTATTTTAGCGAGACCGCCGACGAATCAATAGTCAAGAAGCACGAACGGTGCAAGCAGGAGAGAAAAAAGAAGCTTGCAAAGCTCCACGTTATCGTACTCTGTTTTGAAGCGTATTCGCGCGGTGTAACGTCCGCGCTCTGCGGCCCGCGGAGATTCACTGCCGGCTTTGACGCGTACGTCGTCGCGCTTTACGCGCGCACACAGAAGCCTCGTGGCGCACAAAAGGCTATATTACACATCGCTGGCTTTTTGGAGCGCCGAGAGAGAGGAAAAAAAACAAGCAATTAAAATGTGGACACGTAAGGGGTGTCGTGTAACCGATAATACGAGCGGAAAGGGGTGGATTCTATGCGAGACGAAATCATTCGAAAATGTGGAACAACGTGTTATGCAGAAAATCGACGATAGAATAACACTTCCATAACAATATTTAAGCGGGAGAAAAATGTCTTAGGAAACATACAGGTTTCTCGAGTTCGGTGTAACATAAATGGATTAACGTTAGCTCTGTCGAGTCGTTGAACTCTACCTTTTTTCACAGGAATTTAAAAATTTCAAACGTCCTAGTTCATTATCTTGTTAGCAGTTTATTAATGACTGGCAAATACATGTCACATAGTAGCATGTACACTGTATCTGCTGCTATCTAGAAAACCATCCACGCCCACTAATTTCGACGGTCTCGTAAACAGTCGCAGAAAGCTCTTGTTACTATATTAGTAACACTACCGAAGAGTATTGGAGCAGCACAAAGTACTACAAGCAACTTGAGTTTATTGCTCATTAAAATTGTATAATTAGTATGTTAAAAACAAAGATCTACGAGGAAATCTGATCCATCTCCTATTAACCTTTTGTGAAAGGAACTGGATAGAAGAAACGACGCAGTTTCTTATTATATCAGAAATGGAACGTGTAAATGGAAAATTGATCGAAGACGTACTATAATGTGCAAGGTATAATATATGCGTAGAAAATGAAACGGTTCTCTACTTTTGACCAGTAGCACGCGTAACGGCAGTGAAACCGATGTTAGCTCGTAGAGTCGCTTAGGCTTCTCGCGAGCACGTGCGCGCCGCAAGCGTAGAAGCGCGCGATAGCCTCGTGAAGAGATAATCAATCGGTTGTGGCTAGACTTAAGAACGCGTGTCAGAAAGTGTCGCACGTGCTCAAAAACAGCTACAGAGCACAGAGTCTATTTGGCAGCGTGTTTGCCTAGGGATCAGCGTTACGCCGTGAAGCTTGCAAGCCCTACGAAGCCTGGTAGAGCCCGTGCGCGGGCAGCGTGTCATACGTACTACTTGAAAATAGCAACGACACACTTGGTCGTCTGCTGTGCTGACATCGAACGTCGCCAGGTTGGCGGTGTCGAGTAGGGTTGGAGACGTGCCAGGATTCGAGGACTCGCCTTGATCGTTCGATCGGATTTCTTCGTCGATTCTTGCCTCTCGAATTCGTCGACTGGGCGTCGTCACCCTCCTCGATTTATTCGCGAGACGAATAGAAACCACCCAGCCGATATTGTCGCAACGAGCGTGGATAAAGAAACACGCGAACGCGTCGAACGAACCGCGGGAATTTTCTTTCGGAAGCACCTACTTTTTTGAACTCGTACGGGACGGAGCAAAAGGAGGGAGAAATAGAGAGAGCGAGGGAGAGACAGGGGTTCGCTTCGAACCCTCTGCTCGCCGGCTCTCCCGCCCTTGACTGGTCGATCGCGACCACCCGCGAGATGCTGTCGACTACTGCATCGAGAAACCTCGAGGAAGTCCCTCTATTCCCGATTTCTCTCTCCACGTCCTACCTCGTCTCGCTTTGCCAACGGACCTGCGCTTTCCGTCGCTGCGCTTTCGCCTTTCGGCAATTGCGACCAGCCACTTCCACGGGCTGGCTTTTATCGACCGGGCGTGATAAGGAGGGTCTGATTCGATCGAAACCACGTGAATTTCTTATACCGCTCCGTTTCGTACTCTTTCGATTTTTTTTCAGTAATAATCGTTTTCCTTTTCATCGGTTTTCCTGAGTATTACTCTTGACAGCCGTTTGAGTAGGGAGTGACGAAGGAATTGATTTGTATATTTGATATCTGCCTACTTGAATGTAAATATTACAGTATATTAATAAGTAGACAGCTGTTAGTATATCTTAAAGTTCGTTTCAAGTACCATTAAGCTTCTAGTACCTGTAACATTTATAAAAAAGCAGAATTAGCGTGAGAGGAATCAAATTTTGGGTACGGAATTAAGTAGCGTGCAATTTCTAGATACACCTTAAAGAACTTTCAGTACTTAACTTTATTTTCTTCTTTGCGCGTTCTTCTTTTGTTCTTTGCATTGCAACTCTTTACTTTTTGTAATTGAGTTTATTTGAAAACAGAATAACAACGATAACAAGATTCCAGTGAAAAGCAAAAACCGAAGGTGACGCGAGAATTTATCGAATGTTACGAAGGTGTAATACGTGGGTTTCCGTCTGCATTGTTTCAATAAAATGCAATTACACTCCGTTGCATCGGGTACACATCCATTCCTCTTGACAATGATTCTTGAAAGATTCTTGAATGAATTTTCATTCGCGAATGACGCACGAGAGTTTTCCTCAAAAGGCAGTCTTCGTAAAGGCGTGTTCAGCTTGGTCATTCCTAGAATTTGCAATTCAGTCGCATACATTATACAACCACGTCTTCCGTTATCTGCGAGTCAACGATAAAAATAACCTGATTAATTTTCATATTTACAATCGCATATCTTAAAAAAAATGTCACTCTATCGATGTAGAAACGAGATGCGGTACAAGAAACGTACAGAAAAATCATCGATCATTCGTGATTTATTTAATCTTTATTTCGTATTTGTACACGCCCTTAGCATGCCACATACAATCAATATAATACAGTCCAATGCAGCCAAGGTAGAAGTAAAATACAAAAAATATATATATATATATATGTATTTATATATATATTTATATTCTACGTCGATAGTTAATGTTATTGTTACCACGATGATATAACGCTGAATATATTATTGGATAATAGCTAAGAATATAATACAAAGAAGAGTGCTGGGTTACAGTAGGACACGTAATTCGGATTGAACGTGATGCGAATCGTTAATAATAAAAACGATCACGATCTTTCTTCGATTCTCGTTCTGTATCGTCGTTTATGCAAACTAAAAGCAACGAAACTCGAGATCACAGCACTTCTTAAACGATGATCTATCAAAACGATTTACACAAGGAAGATAAAGCTTGAACGATCGATCTTTCGTAAACGTTCGATGAAAGCATGGTGCACGTAGAAAATATTCTTTTCGTAAACGTATGGCTATGGAACAAAGATAAAGAAACATGTTCCCAAATGAAAATGAGATTTCGACTTGGTGTTTCACGCGGAAATCCGTTTTCTTTCTACGAGCGTGCACAAATTCAGATAAACTCTCTCGATAACGTTTCGAAATTTGATCAGACATTGTCTCGCTAACTCTTCGCATCTAAATATTAACATTCGTCGAATCTGTTTGTTAAAACCGTTATTAGTGGAACTAGAACGCGCTATCTAATTTATTGCTGTTGAAAGCGATCAATGCGTTGACCCGAAATTCTAAATGTCGCTAAAATTGCGTCGGTAATTTTAAATAACAAACTGGAGAGACTCTAAAGATTGATCATTTAATTTATTTCCTCGTTTTGGTATTCCGAAATATTGGTGCAATTTCAGTGGTATCGATTAACGACGGTCACCGGTGACCTCCATGCTAGTCAACATGTTAAACGACAAGAAAGGTCTAATACTTGCTAAGAACATGAACGTCCGCGGTGAACCACCTCTTCGAGAATTTCTTTGATAGACCAACCATTATCTATCTGGACACAAGAGATCGACCGCTACGCCCCGAAGATTAACCCCTTGGCGCGAAACAATATTTCCACAAACGTTATCCGATGGAAAGAGACACTCGACGCGTCGCAGTCATAGATTTATTCCACTTTACAAGGTAAGGAATGCATTAACGAACGCTTTCACCTATACGTACATATATAAATTTCAATGAAATCGAACGGCATCTATATGAAATAGTCTTTATTAATCAAGTTGTACGTCAAGGGGTTAAAACACGCTCGCATACACAGCCATACGTTCTACACGCGATCGAAATTGTGTTCGAGCACACGAGAAAGAAATCGAAGCAGCACTCGTTCGATTTTAGAAAGTTAAACGATCTAGACGAGGAGAATACTCTCGTCGATTTTTCGATCGACACGCGTTTTAAACCGTATCGGTGTGGTTGTTCGTTGCAAGGATCGGAAGAAGAAATACGGGAAGATAATTCGTTGAAAATTGTTTCGAGTTTTCTGAGTTCTTTATTATTAGAGCGTAGCCGGTAAGCGTTTATGGCAGCTTTTTATGAGGATGACTCGGGGGGTTGGGGTGTAGCGACCGTCGTAAAAAGTCATCGAAAAGAAAACCTAACCCAACGGTGAAACAACAAATAAGGCTTGGATAAATTAGTAATATTAACAATAGACAAGTGTAGCAATATCAACTAAGATAATTCGATTAAAGGATAGTTAAGATCATCCTACGATATCGTTTCGTCTTTTCGTTCCTTCTTGATTCAGAAGAAAAAAAGGAAAAGTACAAGAACGACGAATCGTGGAAAAGACGACGGGAGAACGAATCTTGAGGATAAAAAGAGAAGAAAACAACAGGAAGTGGTAAAAGCGGAGATCAGAGGTGTTCACGTTCTAACAATTAATCTCGTTCATCGTCGCCGGCAATGTTAATATAATAATAATAATAATAATAATATTAATAATAATAATAATGATAATAATAATAATGATATTGATAATAATAATCGCAGGAGTTCGTACGGTTTCCTCCTATTGACCGTCACGCTGACTGGAATAAAACGCAACTACGTAACATGTACTTGCGTGCTTACGATAGTTAGGTCACTCTGTTACCTTTCTCTTCATTTCAGCACGATTTCCTGTTAATTAATACTAATGTTCTCGTTACAATTTTTTACGTTAATTTCCACCCTCGCGTAACGCTGAACGCATTTTCGTTCTCTTATCTTTTTCACTCTTTTACACATACACGCGTTCTCTTGCTCTCTCTCTCTTGCATTCTATCACTCTCTTACGTTTCTTCGTTTCAATCTGTCAAGATGGCGCGTGAACGTGTTGTTTTTCGCGACCATCCATGTATCTGCCAAGATTATTTAATTTCTCTGGTTCTATCTTTCTTTGCGAAGAATCTCATCGCGTTTCTTTTTCTCTCTCTATATATAATATATACTTTATAAAATACATTAGTTTACAAACAACGTGGATTAAGTGCCGACGTCTCGCGGGAGTTATCACAGCTCTGGCTCGATCGTGGAACGGCTCACCGAAGAACTCTACCCGGGCGAAACTAATGGAAGAGCTCTCTCTGTTCTCGGGAGGAAAGAAAAAAATGAAAAAAGCACAGATGTTCCGTGTGGTTCACGCGCTACCACTCGCTCGAATAGAATACCGCTTACCACCGTGTCTGAACTGGACTCGTGTTTCATAGGAAATTAACAAGAAATATCAGTCAAACGGTAATTCTAAATTTGACAAAACTTTTCAAGAAGCTGGATCAAATTTAAGAAGGTAAAATCACTCTTCGAAAATTGCTACTTTCGAAGCTGACTTTCTATCGATAGTTTGATAAACCTGCAAACTTATATCGAAAGCGAAAGAAGACGATTGGCTGATGTTCCTTGTAAATATCAGAGGTGTAGAGGGTAAAACGGGATCGCGTTACGGAGCTGCGCAACCGACTGGCAGAGACGTCGATCGTTAGAACAATAAGACTATCTTATCGTGCTACATACATATTTACAATGCCTCCGGATCACGGAGGCGCTGCTCTTCTTCCTTTCTCGATTCTCCATCAGATCCGAAACGTGCACTAACGCCAGGAAGCGACAGGAAGGCATTCGTTTAAACAGCAGTTCTCTTCTTCCTCTGTTAACCGAACTTTCGTCTCCCGTCAGTTATAAACCGCTTAAATAAATATTGTCTAACTTTACAGTCCGTTAAAAGCGTTTAGTTCTCGAACACTTAAAAATACTCGGAAAAAGGAATCAACGCGAGTTAGATACGATTTAGACGTTCCAGTGATATGGGTGATAGTGCATGTTCCGGATGTGTCTACAACGAGGCAAGATGATACCTTCAACGATTAACCTTTATCATTTTTCCTGTTTCTTGTTATACACCAGACACGTTTGTCGAAATCTACGCTACATCATCTTTCGCTGTTTGAGGTTGCGTCGAACACCGAACACGAAGAACGTACGAAGAATCCTGAACGGGTGGTTGCACGATTTGTAAAAATATTTCTCAACTATCTCCTACATTTTCTTTGCCTTTTCCTCTTATTTTTTTTTCAAATACTAATCTTTAACGATCGAGGATAGGTGGGGGACTAATATTCTTTTTTCTTTTAATGTTTAACGTTAACTGTAGTCCCCGTACGAGGACAATTGGATGGTATAATTTCTTTTTTTTTTGTTCTTTTTCTTTTCTTTATACTGCGATAGATAAATCTCTAAGTTTCTCTGGTTAAAATGGAAAATTCGTTCGTTCGTATCGTAGAACGAGTTAATTTTAAGCAAAGCGTCGTAACTATAATTTACGAGTACTTTGCGTCGAATTGGAAAGAAAAGACGGACTTGTATCGATCGAAAGTGAAGAACGCTCTGTGACGAGTTCGGCTGCTTAGGTTAGTCTAGGCAGACCAAAGGGAAAGAAAAATGTCCGGGTCGTTGCGGCGACGTTCTTCTTCTACTCTCCTCTCACGTTCGCACCTGGCAATCGTCAACAACGTACCGGCTCGTACGGAATAATAACTCTGTTAAACGAGATACAACGAATCCTTACAACGTCAGGATGTTTTCGGACCACAATCTCTTGCGAACCCTCGCTCTCTCGCGTCCCTACGTATCCCTGCAAGAAAGCACAACTCTCATACTACCACGAACGACCGTGAACCATCAAGGATACGCGTTTAACCTTCCGTCGAAGTGCAATGCCCGATTAACAAAACTTTCAACGGCTAAACATTTTAATTAATCGCAATTTACTCTAGAGATTCGTATCCATCGATCAAACTTATATTAAATTATGCTTTCATTGGCTGTACTTTCTCTAAAATATTGTATTAAATTATCCATAGTCTTTGTTGCCTCTCGATTGAATTTCATGAAAGAACAATACACGTGCTTCGCTCTGATCCATTCTTTACTCTAACAGACAACCGGCTATTTTAAATTCAGAACGTTAACGTGAAAAGTCTGTACGAATATGTTCGCGAAACTTTAAACGTTCGATGGAAGGTTAATATCGACCTCGACCAAACAGAAGATAAAAGATAACAATGGCCGAACGATTACCTTAGGATTACTTTTTCCATCAGCATAGACAAACGACCCTCCGAGTGATTGGCAGGAAGTAAAGACTTGAGGAGTTCCCTGATAAGGGTCTCTGTCATTCCAGGTGAAGTGCGTTCCGCTGTTTCAAACGCGTTGCGTAGTTCCTCTATCGTGGATCCGCCATTCTTGCCGATACCACTTCCGCCCTCGCCATTATTGTCTCTTGCCGAATATTGATGCTTCCGTTGAAGCTGCGACACAATAGACCGAAGCGAGTCAATTTTGTCCGAGACGGAGAGTTTTGTCAAGCGTTAGCATTCAAGTCGAGAATATCGCCGTTGCCTCGAATGGTCTACGCGAATTTATCATGGAAATCAAGATATCGATACGACGATTAACGCGTATTGTCAAATTACTGATTTTCGAATTCCTAAATCGAGCATTTGTACGCTGCAAAGAACCGTGGTATCAAAGCCACGGAAAAGAAACGCTAGTCATCGAAGCGTCGAAAGATCTAAATTTGAAATTCGTAGAGCTGCAATCTTATCGGTCGAATAAAGGATCCTCCGGCAAAGAAAAGCATTTACCTCGGCAAGGAGAGGTAAAAGGACACCGGAAAGAGCTGCACTTCGAGGATGCTTCAATTCCTGCGAGCTCCTCGGTCTCTGTTTCTCTTCACCGGGCCTATGGTCTGCCATAGGTACGACAGATACTTCCCGTTTGCCGCTCCTTGTCTTCTCTCTCGAACCGAATTCTCTATCCCTGCCTCTGTCCCTATCCCTGTCCCTTTCCCGTCCTTCTCTGTCCCTCTCTCTGTCCCTGGCGTCTCTGGTGTCTCGCATATCCTTCAATTCTCTCAACGAGGAATCTCGATCGAAGTCTCGGTAATCGCGATCCTCTCGTTTCTCTCGCGTGTCTACGGGCGGTGGTGGCGCGGCCTCGTGTGGCCGGGACTGCAAAATACGATTAAACATTCCAAAGATATTAAGCACAGTCCGCGACGAAATTGCTTCGTTCCTTCGATAATTCGACGAGATTTCGCGAGAGAAGGAAGACTCACCGGCGTGTGTTTTGCTTGGCCATCGCGTACCGAATCCCTCGACTCGCTCCTGTAATGATTCAACGTCGAATCCTTTGGCGGAGATCTCGAGGCTCCGTTAGCGTGTGGCTTCGTTTGCTGATTGTGATTCGAGGACCTGTGGTTCGGCGTGTGTGTTAAGGTCAACGAGGCTGGTTGCTCGTCCAGCGGTAGCATGGGCACCACGGAACCTTTCACACCGTGTGGACCTTTCACGGTCATTATCCATGGTTCGTCCATGTCGCTATCCTGCTTCGACTCTTCTCTGTAACGACGCGACGGTGTATACATATTGTTCGATCTAATCGATCGAGCTTCAGGCAAAAGGCTACTTACGAGTCCGAATTCTCGCTCTCCGTTTCTGATTCCTCGCTTCGCTGCGACTTCCACTTTTTGTACCGGTCTATGAGGTCGATCAGGTACGAGTTTTTCTTCGCCTTTCTGATGAACTGGAACTTCAACAGCTCTTTCGCCGTTGGCCTCTGAAGCAACAACAACGAACAAACATTTATCCTATCTTCGAAAGAATACACTTTGAACAACGGGCAAAACAAGCGCAAATATGCTTTGTTCTTGCTACCTTCTGACCCGTGTTTGTATTTTACCCCACGTGTATGTATACTTATTTTATCCATGAGCGTACTAACGTTCCGCCTCAGCGATATATCTGTATACATGCGGGAAAGTTAGTTTCAGCAGCGTCGGACAAAGATTCAACTCACGTTTTCGGGGTCCTTGTTTAGACAGGCCTCGACGAACTCCTTGAACTGCTTCGTGTAATTTCCGGTTAGCTGGGGAGGATTGTTCTTCGGTATAAGGAACAGGACCCTCATAGGATGCAGTTCGCTGTTCGGTGGTTCTCCTTTCGCCAATTCGATCGCCGTGATGCCGAGCGACCAAATGTCAGCCTACGGAACAAGCGTTCTCCGCTATACTTACTCGTCGAGTGCTAATGACACGCTAATGACGACACGACCGTTCTTCGTGCCTTCCAGAAATTGCCTGCGAGAATTCGCGAGTACCTCCAAGCAAGGACAAGAGCTCTTTCAAACAGTTTACACGTGCGACGTGTACGTACGTCTTTCAAGGATAATTTACGACAGGGTCGGAAGTTTCGCTATCGTCCGAAAATAGAGGAATTTTTTAAAAAGGAGCTCGATGTCTCGTTGTCTTTGAAAAATAACATTGTTTTGAAGAATCCAGCCAGCGAGAGAGACATGGCTCCGATAAAAATACAAAAAATGGACAAACAATGTAATCGCGACGAAAATGTCGGAGGCAACTAACAAAATGCAATTTTTTGGCTACGTGAGCGGACTGTGATCATTAGCCTCGGCGAGATGCCGCGGGAATAAAGATATGCCGCGAACCCAGGTTGTTCACGAGCTCGCAGCTGCGGTGCGCTTCTTACCTTGGAATCGTAGGAAGCTTGCTTGATGACTTCCGGTGCCATCCAAAACGGTGTACCAACGAAAGTGTTCCTTTTACTGGTCGTGTTGGTCAATTGGCCAGCCACGCCGAAGTCTGCCAATTTAACGTCGCCCATTTCGCTCAACAAAACGTTCGCCGCTTTAAAAGGAACGACGAATCAACTTTTACACAACTGTTTCGCAAAGATAGGTGAGAGTCGAGTAAACGCGACGACTGTAGATTATTATATTTACGTTACGTAAATTGCCTTTGTTGGAAGACGCTAAAAGCTCATTATTCCTGGGTTAACGCACCTTTAATATCACGATGAAGCTTTCGTTCGCTGTGAAGGTAATCCAACCCTTTGAGCACCTCGCGTAATATCACCGCGATGTGCATTTCCTCGAAGCTACCGGCCTTCATCAAGTCCAGGGCCGAGCCGCCACCCAAGTACTCCATAATAATCCATAGTTTCGTTCCCTGTAAACAGACAAAGATTCGTGCTGTAACGAGAAACATCCGATCGCTTTGTGTCTGGAAATTTCTCCTTTCCCGTCGTCCTGTCGTCGACTAATCTTTTCACGTGAATACCGAAGTCGGAAGTTGTTACGTTGTTAACTAGACGGATGCATTTATGGACGAATTTATTAACGAAGCCGAGATATCCAAGCCAATCAACGAAAATAGACTTATTTCAGAAATAAACGAAACTCCATCTAGCCTCCTATCGATTCATTAATGTCTGTAGGAAAAAGAGCGAATTTTCCCTAGATCCGCAGAGTACGAATAGCTCATTCGGCGCTTCATGCAAACGATGCATCTTCATTAGTAACGTCAATTTCCGCCTCTCTAGTAGGCTGCATCGTCGAAGACCACACCTTTGCCGATAATTATATCCGACATCGATGTCCAATCACTGCGCTCCTGGGCTCACGCACCGGTATAAGGCTGATTCACTGGTTATCCGATAATCGCGTTCTCGTAATCGACTGATTAATCAGTGGTTCGCACAAGGATGTTCAAGATTCCCGCTCTTTGGTCACCGACTTGTGAAAGAATCATTAAGCAAGCGCGATCGGATCGCGAGGACAGGATGATGACTTGTTGGAAACGCGGATGATCATCTATAGACGATGGAATAATGATAGTCAAGGTGATCTTCCGCGCGGAGGAGACAAATGGACGGTTCAATGAATCGATCGATCATGGATCGATGCAACTTTCACAGGTGGTTCGCTTAAAATAGATATAGACTGCGCGACGCCGCGATCGCACCACCTTTTAGTTGCTTCTTTTACGCAAAATGGATTCGAACGAGGTCCGCTCACCCCATCGAATCCTCCGAAAAGGATAGTCCAACAAAAAGTAGAATATCTGGGAAATATTTCAGGACTCGCTGATGCGATAATAAAAATATTAGAAGCGTTCGCAGAAACGAAGAAGCCGTCTCGTTTCCAAGAAGGAGCTCGACAACTTTAAGCCGAGCTACGAAAGAGGGAACGGGAGAAGCAAGAACATGTTCTAGGAGTATCCTGACCGGCGCTCAATCATATTTCGCTCGTCAGGGAGAGGCGAAGCTTGACAGCGGTCGACGCTTTATGGGGTATAATTTTCGCGTGGCGATCACGAGGTGTCCAGTTCGAGCGGTGGCCATCGGTTGATGGCACACGGTTACAGCGTATGGCTACCCATAAAACGCCACCATTTATCATCGTCCTATGATAGGACACGAGCGAACGTAGCGCGTGCGTTCATTTTCATGTAGATCCACGCGAACGTAGGTGGGCCGGTACTCGCGAGGGTTCGTTCAACCCGGTTTTCAACCAGGCCACTTCTGCAGACGCGAGCGAGGGGTTGCTAAATCATTCCCCTATCCGACAGACGCTTCTTCCTTTCGGTTCGCGCGAGATTCGCTTCGAGAACCGAAACGGGATTGCTGGTAAGAAACACGGCGAACGAAGGAAAGCATTACGACGACGCATTTCTTGGATTTCACTTTGCCAGCCGGAAGTTCTTGTCCTTTTTACGACGAAGGATTTCGCTCGAGTGTCGAGCCTGTCTCGCCCGGGGGCGAACGCGAGGAAAAACTGCGGCTTTTCAATTTCTGTGCTTTTCTTTTTTCTTATTATTTCTGACAGAGAAGAATGTCTTCTTTTCCTTCGCGGTTTCGTCAGCGTCATAGGGCATTTCTAAGCAAAAAACGTCGGAGAAAATGACTGTCTTTGCGACTATTTAAAGAGCCCACTGCCATAACAGATAGACGTTTCGTAATATACTTTGAAATTAGTCGAACGCTACGGTGAATCGTGACCGCTATCGGTTTCGGATAACAGGACGAACCGCTTTCGAAATAAAATACCGCCCCTTTCTCCCGAATTCTCGTTCGCTCCTTCAATGAAATATACCTTACGAAGGCGAAAGCTTCTCGATAATCTCTCGCACGCGATTAAAACAAAATATGGCGTTAATCCTATCGCTGCCGGTGGCGTTTTCGGTTCCCGTTCGTCGCTTTCGCTTCGCACGGTCTTGTTCCAGCGACTCTTTTATCTCTCGAGTAGTCATGGCAGCTGAACGAAGAAGAAAGAAGCAAAACAACAGCGCTTTTCAGTTTAATGAATGTCGCCTCGCATTAAAAACAGCCGCGTCGCGAGCATGTCACGTCTGGAATGTCGCATTCAGACTTCCTCGGGGAACGATGAAAGCGCCGTGAATAAAAATAAGTGACACTCCTGACAAACAAACGAATTCACCGGACCTACAGATTCCTTGGCGATGCTCTTCGCGAGGACGCGTCGAAATTATAAAGGAATGCCGTGGTCGCTTTCGAACATTCGAGGGAAAGATGCAGCCGAGTCGATGAAAACGAAAATCGAGGTTTTCGTCGAATACGAAGGAGAATACGAACTCGCAATAACAGTGCAATTCCTTCGAGAGGATTTTCTTGATCCCTATACCTCTATCGAACGCGGGGACGGAGCTCCGAGAAAGATAGAGACAGAGAAAAGGGTTTACCGGTAAAATCCTTTTACCGCCTCCCTTTCTTCAATTTGCTGACATCCCTCTTCCAGCCATGGGTTCGCTGGCTTTGACACGGTACCACGAGAAACTTTTCTAACGATGCACGCCCTTCTTCCCACAAAGTTTTTACCTTTCGGACACCTGTTCCGTCGTAGATGGTCCATTAACTGTTTCCATGTGAACAACGAACACGCTATCGGAAACCTGACTGTTAATCGCTACGCTTATATCCTGTGACGAATTACAGTGGATCTATCCTTATTCGGATGAAATATTTGAGAGACGATAAAAAAACGAGCCGAGTACCTGTCACCGAACGGACAATCAACTATCAATAAACTCGGAGATTGTTTTTAGAGGCACCTGCTCGAATAACAACGAGAGACATCATCCAGAAAATATTACGGACTGTCGTATCCGTGAGCGGTGGAGCGAGGATACTGGACACGTTCGAAAGGAGAGAACGAACGTCGAACGAACGCGTGATTAATGGCCGATTTTGCTTCTCTATCGTACGTGTCCTTTTGTTCCTGTGCTCCGTGAAACAGCGAGCGTGCAGATGGCAGTGATGAACGGTGCGACGGAATTAATCTTCGCACGTGCGATATTCTACATACCTCTGTATGCCCTCATTGGCAATATCGCTTAATTGGTCATTAATAGCGGCGCACTACTCGGGAGACTCTTCAAAGAGAGAAATACAAGGTGTAGACAATACGTTCAATCAACGCGCATTCGGCTAATTGGACGTAGAGTCTAGTCAGGGTATCCTGATGCTTCTCTAACATCGGCGAGCTGAGAGACATGCTGGTGCTTAGTATCGGTATCGATATCGGCAATCAGCAATTAGCATCACCGTTAGTGTCAATTTTAGCATCGACGATCAGAAATTGATATCGACATCGCTGTCGGTGTTAGACAGGATATAAGTATCGGCTACCGCTAACGCGATTGATCGCATCGGTGGCGCTAACGCAAATATCGGTAATCAGCAGTTAACGACGGCATCAGCAATCGGCACTTGAAAGTTCTCTAAGCGTATTATTGCTCTACTATTCCGAGCAACGGTTCATTATCCTCGAATCACGATCGCTTGATTTTCACCGAACTCCGACAGCGTTTTAGAGCTCGAGTCCGTTAACGCTAAACACGTTTCTCGATTCAATGAAACTTGAAGCAGTTTTTGCATAAAGTACGGAGGATACAGTCGACGGAAGAGAAAAAACGTCGAATTAACCGCGAGCTCTGTCGACACGGGGCGGTATTCTGGCGAAAGTGAAAGCGAACAATTTCAGCGGTCCGTCAATTAGAGGTAATTGCTCGTAAAGACGACGAAGCAGGACGACAGAGTCGTTGCAAAAAAGAAATTCATCGCTGTTTAGGCAAGGCGCAACGACCAAACGTATTTTTGGATCGTCGTCGAATCGAGGGAGCCATTAGAAAATTGGTCGGCTAATAATAGTCGACTCGTGGTCGCGTGGAATCGTAGCGTGTTACGTAAAGTCGCGTCCTCCATAACGGAGGCACGCCTTTTTTTCGGGGTTGCTCCCTCCAAGTGGTTCGCGGTTATTAATTCCGTCAGCGATAATTTTTGCCCTTGCGTCTTTAAAAGGAGGCTATTCCCGCTATCTCCATCGGCGATCCGCTTAACCCACATACGACTCTCGTCCTCTTTCCTTCAATTTCGCTCCGAAATCGTTGAAGAATTTGAAAATCACGAGGATTTAATTGATACTCTCGTAGAACAGAGTCTAGACCGTGTGTCTAGAGATCCTGACAATTCATCGAACAAATTATGGTTTAATAACCTTCTGCGAGAGTTCTTGCTCAGGCACTTAACCTTCATAAATTAACATTTAATCCCTTGGATACGTAGCCGAACTTCCCATCGATACTTTAGTATTACCGTTACGACCGGTATCGGTGTCCGGCAGTAGTCGATAGCGGTCGTTCCTTTAACCGGCTGGGATCGATAAGACGTTAAGAAGTCGAGGGAGAAGAAGATCACGATTCGCCTAAAAACGCCGACCACTTAACGTTCCTAAGTCGAACGATCGCGTAATAAGCGTCCAATTAGAATTACTCGTTCATAAAGTCTGAGATGCTCGTTGCAGTCCGAACACGCCGCCGCGGTGCAATCGTCTTTTGTTCGAGAAACAATGAAGCGAACGTAACGGGGAAGAAAGGCGCCAGCCAGGAATGCTTCCAGGATCCTCGAGGTCCGGATGCTTTTCGAATATTACGTTGGAACTCGACCACCGCTCGATTCGAAGAAAAACTGAATTTTCCGGCCGAGAGAAACGAATTACTTTCGAACGAGACCGAGGAGGGGAGAAACAATTAAATCCAGTGGACGAGAGAAGAAGGCCTGGAAAAATACTCGATTGTCAATTCGAACGTTCTGTAATTACTTTCGCGGGAATGGAAAGAGAATGCATTAAATAATGACGCTTCGAAACGAGGAAAATAACTCTGAATAGTATTCATGGACTAGATGAACACGCGACCATCGGGGAACAATAAACTCTTCCAGGGCGAGGTAAATCAAGGAGGCTGTAAGAATAAATCTGAGACTTTTAAATAATGTAAATTACTCTTAATCGCGGTGGAAAAATGCGAGAAGAGATATTTCACGCGACACAGCGTTGACGCGTTGGATCGCCACAGTGAATGCGGACTGACGAAGTCAGACATTTCCAAATAACGACTATCGAGGATACGATGATTCAATTTTTCAATTTAACCGTTTAATCCTTTCCGTACAATTAATAGCGCAGTAACAATGTTCCTTCCGTGTCTTAATCACCGGAAGCATAGACTAACGAGCTTGGATTGTTCGTACAAGTACCAGTGGCAACAGACAGTTCCTTAATTTGTCAAACTATAAAAGAGAAAATGATTCATCTACGGAGAGGCGACAGGAAAAACTACGGGAAAGGAACGAGAAGAGGATCACGCTGTTCATCATCCTCGATGCATCCGGATTGAGAAACGTTAAGGTGTGTCTACAAAGTACGACGTCTGTTATTTCTCGTTCTAAGCTACCTACGCCGAAACGCGCGTCTGTCGTGCTTTTTCGCGTTCCACCGAGAAAAAGATACGGATCCAGCAGCATTCTCATTTACGATTTCGAAAGCAGACCCGGCTGCGCGTCGAGTTAGAAAAACTCGCGGCTACAATCGCGGAAAAGGGGAAAAATGAGAGCTTTCATTTAGCCGGAGCTTTTTCTTCTCGGTGCGCCTACGCAGACACCGGGATTAACCCTCAAGGCCGTTAATCAGACTTTAAAAAAGATCTGAAAAATAACAAAGGAGTCACGTTCGCGCTGCACCTCGGCCGATCTCGTTTGTCGTATACCTCTAATTTCGCGTGACACAAAACGCGCCGAGAAAACCGTCCGCAATTCTGAAATGAAATTTTATGAACGGTATACGTGTTTTCGACGGACTCGCGTTAAGGCGAACACCGGTAGCCAAGAGAACGACCAAGGAGTGCCATGGCAGGCCGATAACTGTTGTTGACCAAGTTGGTCGACTTAATAACAGTTCCCAGACCGAAGGAAGATCGAGCAGAAAACATGAGAGCCTTCGAGAGGAACAGATACATCCGTTACGCGATGACATCAACCACGTAGGTAGTTTTCTTTAACGCGGTGACTACTCGGACTTCGATAACAAAGAGTATCTTTCACCGCTCCTAAACTTTATTCTCTACTTCGTTAAATTCTATGACAGCTGCACATTCGAGATAAAACAATATGTCTGCCTACAATTATACCCGTTAACTATGCGTTGAATCGATCCGTGTCACAAATAAATTGTGCTCTGGGTAAAAACGGAGTTAGACTTTCATGTCCTCGAGCGATCTTCCCCTTTCTAGAAATTTCAACTGGCGTACGGATAGAAAAATCTCGCTACATTCTTTTCGAATCAACAATCATTTCGGATGTGTCATCGATTTCCAACGTATTGTTCCGTGGATGGTTTAAAAAGAATGCAAAGTAAAAAACGAGAGGATGGAAAGCTGCTTAAGCGCGAAGGAAGGAGTCGAAAGGGGAGAGTGGAAAATGAAATCTCGTAGGCGAGAGTGAGGAAATCTCCGGAAGAGGCCCGGTGCTTTTGTTCGCTCTCTCGTGGATCTTTTCGTGGCATCGACGCAGAATAGGTATCGAGAACGAAGATTGCGGAGGATGGAGGATCCTTTTGTGCGCACGGCTGTGATTAATGGCGGCACAATAGCCGCGTGCCGTGGGATATAATCGTACGCAACACACGTACAGATCTCGGTTTAATGCCGTTATTACCGCGACGGCACGCCACGATTCCTGAAAAATCAATATCAAACGCGTATCTTGCGTTCACGTAACGCTATAATCGGTTCGCGGTAACCGGCAATCCTGGATCATCGAGGCTGAAGCACGGTATATAGACGGAATCGTTTCGTAATTGATAAACTGTGGCCTCGTCGAACGAAACTGTGACCGATCCTAGGAAATCTCCAGAATATTTCTCGATAATTGCTTCGGGTTTCTCTGTCCGTGTATCTCTCGAACCTCCGATGATCGTTCAATCAATTATGACGAATCGGGTCATGCAAACGTTAACTTTCGACGGTTGGATTATTTTCCCTTCAGACCGAGTTTCAGGCTTCCATTGACACAAGACCTATAACTTTTCCTTCCTTCCATTACATTGTCTCTATATGAATATTGTGCACGTTTGAGAGCGAATCAAAACGATCATTATCTCGTGCGACGAGGTAAGGGAGGGGAAAGAGCGTTAATTGCGAGACAAGGGTAGAAACAAGCCCGCCGATTCCCGGTGGGAGCACAGGGAATGAGGAAACGGATTACAGCGGCAGCAACGTGGGCCTCCCTTAGTTTCCGGCCACGGGAAGCGGAAAATTAAGATGATTACCTATGAAATGAAGCGGCGCCCGATATTAAGCTTCGCCGAGAACTTTCCTTAATGATCGCGCGAAACGGTCATTAACGATCATTAGTTGTTTGCCCGAGTGTTCGATCGAAATATGTTTGTGGTCGAAGCACCGACGTCGAATTAAATAACAAATGTTAATGCAACAAGATCCAAGTAGAAAATAAAAACTAAATTTTCGATTTTATTGCTGGATACTTTGCAGCGAGCACGCTGTAGCGACAGCTATGATCTGTGCGACATTGTCGAACCGGAAGAGATGGTTAACCGACCGTCAAGCCCTTCCTATTCTTCGCCTATGAAAAATGACGAGGGCGTATCGACGGAGTGTGCCCAACAGTGGACCAAAGGGTCCAAAGTTCTCGTTACACCTCTCCGAGTATTGTGGATGTTCACCGAATCGGAACGGCGACAGAAAGGCGTGGCCACTGTGTAGATTTTACGTCGTCGACAATCCGCAATTCCCTGACGACGGCTCTTTTACTCTCGATCGTGCCCGGGGGATCATCGAATTTCAGAAAAATAAGGGATAGATACTAGCTATCGGCTCGGATATCTTACCCGACAAGCTACAACCGAAAAGAAGATTCTTGAGCGATGTTCGAACACGATATTTTACGCGACACATCGAATGCACAAATTTACGAGACAGCGCGACACGCGTTCGAACCATAAAACTTAAATACTAGGATCGTATTCGTTTTTTTAAAAGCAACGTCCTGCAATAACGCGTTACTCCATCACCCAGTGATTTACGTTATAACAGGATTAAACTCTTACCTTGAGATAGGACCCGTAATACTTGGTGACGTATGGGCTGTCACACTGTGACAGCACCATGATTTCCTGCTGTATATCTTCGATCTCATCCTCCGCTTCTTCGAGATCGATGATCTTGATGGCGACAACCTGCTGGGTCCTATTGTCGATACCTTTGAACACCTCACCGAAACTACCCTTCCCAATTCGTTCTTGTTTCGTGAATATCAGCTCGGGGTCCACCTTCTGCAACAACAAAGTTTCGTCTCCATTAGCTCTCGCAGTATCGTTGGGACTCTGCGACCAGGGATTTAGCAAAGTTTTCCGTGGTGCGGATTTTTGCCAAATTTTGCACAGGTCCGCTATCATAAAAGTTTCCGGCGGACTTAGCGGAGCCCCGAATAACGGAATTGCGGCAGTTTTAGCAAATTTCCCGACGACCGCAGGGTTTTGCCAAATTACTCAAAAAAGATTTTTGCGAGGTAACGACAACGTTACCAACGCGATAACGTCCACGGACGTATTTGCCGTTACTCGCTTTCGATTTTATCCGTTTACATCATGCCGCGTTACGTCACCGTAAAAGTCTAGCCACTGGCAAAAAATCGTAACGCGTTCGTGAACGCGGTTCGTTGCAGGTGTTAAAACATCGAATTGCCCCGGGATAGAAATTACGCGAACGGTTCGCGAAAGAATCCGAGAATCGCGGAGGAGATCCACGTGGGACTTTCTTCGACTGCGTGTCCTTCGCGAACATCGGCCAGAAATGCGGTTCTCCTTGGCTCCCTTCTAACGTGACATCATAACGCGGTAGAAAAATGAGCGGAATACAATGAGTGTCCAATAATTAAGCAACATTAACGATCGCCCACGAAGCTCTCGCTCGCCGACCGACGAGAGCATTTTCACTCGAAAGTAAATTACGAAGCAACGAATTACCGAGCAAGAACGGGAATTGGCAGTGGCCAATTTCGGAAAGATATTGGCCGTCGTTTGGAAAGAAGAGTTAAAAGCGCAGAAGCAAAATCGATAGCTCGTAAATTCATCGAGGCGTTGAAACGCTCTCGAACGTTGGTGACTGTAGCGTGGATCATAGGAGAAAATTTGCAAAGCAGATTTTCCGCATTTTGCGGAGCGTTAGTTGCGGCTTTCCTGTCTCTTCGTCCCTCTCTACCTTCAATCCGCCCTCTCCGATACCAGCTTTTTATCTACGCGACTTTTCACGCGCGCTTCGCGGACGTACACACGGCCTTTGAATAAAAATAAAGTAAAAAAATGAGCGAGATAGAAATAGCGAGCGCGTGCATGTGTTTATCGGTGCCCTTTCATCTTTCGAGAAACAAAATTTTTCTCGTTCCATGTAGCTGGAACGCTTTAAGCCATGCATTCCATCCCTGAATATTAATTTCGATATTTAAAGCGCGATCGCACGGAAGAAATATTTATTAAAAAATAATACAGCTTTGAAACACCCACCGGTGAGACTTAACCGCGTTGGTAACAAAATCAATCGCTTCGAGAGCGAAAAAGAGGAAAACGACGGATGCTTTGAGCAAGAAAACGAAGAAAAAACGGAATAAACGATTCCGGCCAAGTTCGAACGGCCTCGATTTCCTCCCTCGTTTTCTTCCTTTTTGCTTTTTCTTTAGCGAAAACCACTGTCGTTACGGCTATTAGAGCTGGCTGCTATTCGCATTTCCGGGTGGCAAGAGGAAAGATGAAAAACAGGGGCTTTCGAGGAAGGCAGAAAACCGCGTGCATCAGTCGCAAAAACAGGAGAGAGAAAGAGGAAGGATGTTGCTGCACCGAGAGCCGAGCGCATCTTAGCCCCTTTTCTCGTCTGCTTGCCTCACGACACAAATTATAATTAGCGGGTGTCAGCGACACAAAGAGCCGGCACGTAGGTAGTTAAAGTACCGACAACGGAAGCTGAAGAGCACCAGGTACACATCCGGGAAGGGAGGGACCAGAGGACGGGTTCTTCTCGATTTTCTCGCCGCGTCTTAACGCGATGGCATCGCCCGATAATCGATCGATTAACGCGTTTATCGCATCGATGCTCTCGTCTATCAACCGTCCTCGCCGATCTTACATAACCGGTGCACGCGATGGAACGAGAAAATGCACGGGTTCGGAATATTCGCGAAGTTTACAGATCTCGTTGCGAAACACCGCTATCCCCGAATTTGCATCGCCGAAGAGCACGTGCCAACTTCCTTACGTTACTTTAGACTTTCGCGATATAACAGTTCTATTTTAGTCGTCCGAAGAATCGTTGGTCTCGTCAAGTTTTCCACGGAATTTGTCTTCGAGATCCAAAGCTTTGTTTGAATAGTTTTTCGCACGGAAATCGATAACGCGAAGCTTCAAGAAGATTCAAGAGTGTGGAATTATTTGATGTGCTAAAATAAATGGCAAGAAACTTTTTAGATTTAAGTCGCCCGATATAGCCACCGAGTTATCTTTGGAAATTGTCAGAAATCGTCCAACGCGGATACCCGGTGTCTTTAGTTAGCGCTCGAGCGACTAAACACCAGCTACTGCATGTAATTAGTGCTCAAGGCGCGACGGCGCGATAGAGAATGCAGCGAGCGAACGTCTTGTATTCGGCTCTGACACGGCAAGTGTTCTGGGGTCAATCAGCAATGTCAACACGGACAATATTAGAACGAGCAAACAAAATCCGGCGCCACGGGATTACAATGTGTAACCAGATCCTAGATACGGATAGAACGAACAGTCTCTGTGTAGAAATCCAAAATGGAACTCGCTAGAGATCTTCTCGGATCTGTAAATCGTTTCCTGCACGAATACTCAACGTGGAAATCTCGTGTCTTGAAATTGTTGCTCTCAAATGTTGTTCCATTTTGTTTGATTTTGTACACGGGGCTGCCAAATATTTTGCCACGAATTTGCGAAATCGAATACTAAAGCAGGGAATCAAACTCTTTGCCCTGTAAACCTTTTATTCGGAAATTCACGCTTCGAAATGTTTCGTTCGCAAAGGTTTAACCAGGAACCCGAGCAAATCAAACAGCAAATTGAATTTTCAGCTTGAGTCTCAAAGACACGGGAAACATTCGACGGGCCATGAGGTGCAAAGCTTTACGCGATCGTTGACCCGTGAAACAATACGAAATAATAATGTTTGACCCGACAAACACCGGAGGGACCAGCGACCTTTAACTTAACCGGAGAAAGTGACGGCTGAAACGAGATCGATTCCGTTTCTGCTCAGACGAAGCTACGAGTCGCGTGAAAAGATATTTTTAATCTTGTCCTTGCTCTAGCCGCGCTGATCGATTTTTGTTAGAGTATCGGAAGAAGCTCGAGCAAGCTTTCGAAACACCGTAAATAGCTGCACGTGCGACGGATAATTCTGTGCGACTTTGAACAGACGAACTTCTTCCGTCTCGAATTCATAGACCGAGCGGTATCGTCGCGATCCATCTTCCGCTATTAAGACTTCCCCGTTCGCGCGGATCTAATTTCGCAAATTACTTGCCTACGATATTCTCTCTCTACCTGTCCCCAGTTTCTCGCGTATCTTTCCGCGAAAACCGAGAGCCGTCGGAATTAATTACGCGAGCTGTTTCCCGCGCGTTATTCGTCTCTGTTCGCGTTCGTCGCAAAGAGTGAATAGACGAAACGACACAGGGGGCACTCGTGGGCAGAAAAATTTGTGTTAATTCCATCGAGTGACGGACAAAAGTGGACCAAGACAATTTTCTAACGGGGTCGTTAATCGTCGAAGATTCCACGATGGCGGCACGCCGGTACGCCGTTATAACGGCATTTCCATAAAAATCCAATTTACGAGCGTGTGGAATGGTCGTGCGCGTCGTGTCGGTCGTCGTGATCGTCGTCGACGCGGCCGTCGAAGAAAAGATTCTGGACGAGTCTCCGCTACAGGGAACTTGAACGTTCGAAAGTAGTTCAACGAGCGTGCGTTAGCGCCATGTGTCGTTCGACCTCGTTTGCCGCGAGAGTAATTCATCGCGCGAGAGGGAGCTGAAATTAAAGTTTAAACGGCACTTCAGGGCCCGACCGAGCGATTCCGAGCGTGGCGGTGGAACGCGTCTTGTCGCTCGTACACCGACGAATCGCGTGCTTCGCCTGCTGTGAAATAAATGAAAATCGCCAAGGAAGACGCGGTTTCAACGCGGCGTGTTTGCTTAAGAAGATAAATCCCGGCTTCTCGCTCTACTAACGGAAACAAAACGCGCATTAAAAGGTGCAATTCTGATACACGTTTCTAATTCCACGAGAAAACGCTCTTAGCGCGTTGTATCCGTCAGTATCGGCAAATAAATATCCTGTATGTTTCTTCTTCTATTTTTCCTTCGAATCGAAACACCGAGTAGGAATGTACGTAATAAGATATTGAACATGTGCTATGCTATCGATCCGATGTAATTAAGGACGCACCGTGTGTGTCTCGTTACCATCCGATGATAACGATGCGCGTTGCACGCCCTGTGCTACCTGTTCGGTGCATATTTATGGAGATAACAAAGGTAAACGTTAACTCGAAATAAAAAAACCGACTAATTTACTCGTTATCGTAATTAGCAAAATAAAAAGAGTTCCGGCTCCCGAGGATCATCTTGTATGTTAATAGGACCCCGTACTCGAACGAGTTAAACTTTGTGCGGTAAAAACGTTCTTTCGAAATCGCCCGTAACGTTACCGTGCCTCGTGGCTGCGTCAAATGTTTGTCGTAGCCGAGAAAAACGGAATATGCAAGAGCATATTCTACTGATATCGCGGAGCAAAGCGGTTTTACCGCAGCACCCTATTTTTTCCATTCCGAAAAAATTCTAAAAGACACGACACAGATATTTCTCCCACCTTTTAATTTCGCTGTTGTTTACCGTTTTCCTGTCAGACGCGGAATATTCGTTTCATGCGAATACGTTGCACGATACTCTCTGACAAATTGCCTGAATTTCGCGTTCTAAACGAGTTGCCTCGACGATTATTACGTTACTCCTTAATTGTCCCGAAAGCTCCGTCATGCGCTCATAATCCGATTGCCAACTTTATCAGTTCGACGAGAAGTTTCCGCGAACTCGATTTCTTTTCTCTTCAGAAAAGACGAAACAAGTTGTTTCGTGACTACGAGCGCTGCAACGTCGAGACGCGGATAACTGTTTCCTTGGTTTCGTGGTTAACGCATAAATCCGAGGGAAAAAAATGATAAAAGAGAAAATGAGTATCCGGAGCGCATTAAAAGGTGCAATTCT